TTTTTTTTGACCCACTTTTTTGGGGGACCAAATTTTTGGTTGGCCCCCAAAAAATTGTGTTCTGGATCCGCCCTTGACGGGCCTGCCCCCCTGCAAAATTTCCTGGACAGTAAGGCTGATCGGACTGCAAACCTTTCAGTTTATTGAACATGGATTGATTTTTTTTTCAAGATTATGTGAGATTTGAATAGACCATGGCAGCAGGAGGATTTACATGTCCACACACTTTTGAATTTCTGCAAACAAAAAAGGCTATAGAGATGGGAAAACCATGCGCCTTTTTCAATTTTTTTTACTCCTCCAACATTTTATTAACCAGATACTGTATATTTGATAGGCTCTGACCCACACGCATGTCTGTGGCTCTGACCGTAGATGATGAATAGCGCCACCATACGGCGAATAGAACACATTAAAGAAATCCAAACCATTTTATATTACATTTAGCTGTAGCTTATTAGTTGCACTTACGAGGACAGAAGCAGGAGAAAAAGGGTAGATTGTCAATGGAAGTCAGGCTTGTTGCCGTATGCCGAATATTTTTGTTCTGTTAAAATTGTTTCATCATAAAACTGTCTAAACAGAACATTAACAGGAGCCGCCATGCGCCAGGGCCGTAAACTGGTAAACTGAAGGTGGCGCTCTGGCTTTGGTGTAGAATTAAAACAAAATAATAACGACTGCAATTATAAAGTCACCGGAACCAATAAAATTCATTACCACAAAAAATAACAACAATACCAACACGACACAACTTTTTTTTTATTGAAAGATTTTCTGCGTTAATTGCATTATCCCTAACATGCACTACATACACACAGTACACAGCATGCAACATACAATAACTAAAGTTTGTCATTGGCCACTACCATTATAAAGAGGGTTGATCTTCAAAGGTGAAATCTGATCGAAATGCTATTGAATTTAAGAAATGTCTGTTTTTAAATCACTTTATGAATGTATGCATTGCAGAAACATCGAAAACTACATATATTAGCATTCTTTTTCAAATTTGACAAATGTCAATTAGTAGCCCCTGAAATAAATCTTCAAGGGAAACAAATATTACCCATTAACGAACTTTGCAGCAGTCCATACAAAGCGGAAGTGTTGTGGAGTTTATGTGGATGTGCTTATGTAGTTCTTTAATCTTCTTTCATTACACGATAGAGTTAGTTTCTGGTGGCCGGCTGACGAGGGAGAATTTAAGCATGGAGCCGAAATCGGAAAGTTCTGCAGTGGAAGACAACGAACTTGCTGCCTTCAAGAAAGCTGCAGTGAAAGGTATTGAAAGTCGGCGAGTCTGGTCATTTTGTGAGAATGAGTTGGGATTTTATATTGAGTAGGCCTCATGCACATTTAACATGCTCAACGGAATTCACTTTTACATGTGAATTCCTGATGAGCATGTTAGCTGGAGTTACTCAAGCCAGTTGCTGAGCCTTCACTAATGAAAGTGCATGATGCCTGCTCAAGTCAGTTCAGTCGGTGGTTTGGGATTTTCCCACCAATAGCTTACACAACATATATTTATTAGAAAGAAGGATAATTTTTTGTTATTCGACCAAGTCATGTGTATTTTGTCTGTGATTTTTATCTGATTGGCCTAATCTGATATTTTGTAATGATTGAAGAGCTAAAATTTCAAATTAATTAATATGATTTTTTGCTTGCAATTATATTGTTATTATTAATATTATTACATTTGTCATGTTTGTAGTAAAAAACAAGGGGGCGTTTTCTATATTGGGTCTTCGGGCCGTATCATAAGTCTGACGCCTCATAAGTCCGAAATTTCGGACTTATGAGGCATAAAATTTATTTATTCCGCCTCATAGCTCCAACGCCTCATAAGTTAGACACCTCATACTAGTCCGACGTCGGAAAACTGTAGCATTTAAGTTGTCGGACTTATGAGCCGTCAGAGGAGTGAGGCGTCGGACTTATGAGGCGTCGGACTTATGAGGCGTCGGACCTATGAGGCATCGGACTTATGAGCGGACCCCTGGTCTTCAGTCATTCGCCCGTTGTCGCGTCATCCTAATGGATAGAAAAACACCCTAGACACAGCAACAAAAGCTGTGGTCAGGCGCTCTTATTTTACCCAATCGGCGCAAGCTTGTCCAGGTTTTATGGATCTTTATGCCCGAACGTAATTGTTGTATTACACAACACTGCATTCGAATTGACCAATCAAACAGTTGGTCCTGATTTGGGAATGAAATGACGTCATAATTTAGTAAGACGACTCCGATTGGCCGAGGTGCGGGATCACATATCAGCATGCTTAGATATATCAGACCTTATAAAGAGACTGGGCTCCGTGGATTAACGGGTGATACTCAGACTACTCAATGCCAGCCCCACGCACTGGAATAAACTCTGTGCCAAGGGCCTTACACATGTGAGCACAAAAAGGTTAGTAAGGTTAGGTTAGTGCTCATTTGTGTATGGCCCTTAGCACAGAGTTCACTCAGTGCATTGCCATAGAATAGGGCTATGCAGTGTTAATCTTGTTCCATCAGCTGGTTGAATTCAAATATATGCAAGTTCACTAAGGACAAATGAAGAAATATGAAATTTTGTCTTCGTCCTTTAGAACTTACTAAATTCCCAATACGAATTTATGTTGAAAATACAAACATGGGAATTCCCAGTGTGTTCCGCCATTCTCACTTACTCAGGAAAGCTCACCAGAAATGAGCGTATTTGTTTTAGGGTCATTATATATCCTACATGCTTCAGCGGGGTTTATATCCTTCAGCTTGTAATTATAGGTCAAGCTTCCTGATTATAGTGTCAAAGACTTAAAGCACCTGTGTCAAGAGTTGTAGTTAATCTGCTCAAGTCCTCACAAGTCAATCACAAGTCATCACAACTCATCACAAGTCAATCACAAGTCATCACAAGTCAATCACAAGTCAATTGCAAGTCAATCACAAGTCATCACAACTCATCACAAGTCAATCACAAGTCATCTCAAGTCATCACAAGTCATCACAAGTCAATCACAAGTCAATCACAAGTCATCACAAGTCATCACAAGTCAATCATAAGTCATCACAAGTCGTCAAAAGTCAATCACAAGTCATCACAAGTCATCACAAGTCAATCACAAGTCATCACAAGTCAAACACAAGACAATCACAAGTCATCACAAGTCATCACAAGTCAATCACAAGTCATCACATGTCATCACAAGTCAATCACAATTAAGTCATCACAAGTCAATCACAATTAAGTCATCACAAGTCATCACAAGTCAAGCGCAAGTCAAATCACAAACAATCACAAGTCATCAAAAGTCAATCACGAGTCAATCACAAGTCGTCACTTGTCAATCACAAGTCAATCACAAGTCAATCACAAGTCAATCACAAGTCATCACAAGTCAATCACAAGTCATCACAAGTCAATCACAAGTCATCAAAAGTCAATCACGAGTCAATCACAAGTCATCACTTGTCAATCACAAGTCAATCACAAGTCAATCACAAGTCAATCACAAGTCATCACAAGTCAATTACAAGTCATCACAAGTCAATCACAAGTCAATCACAAGTCATCACAAGTCAATCACAAGTCATAAGTTATTTTGCTCCCAAGTCCCAAACATCTTTCATTCTGAGGTGTTTTTGCAGTGAGGTATCCAGTCAGTTCAAAACGTCATTGATCTAGAGACATGGCCATTCCTAGCATGCTAACATTATACATTTGTACAATGTACAATGTATACACTCATGGGCCCTCTTCAGTAGCAAATGTCATGAGGCAGTTGCTTTGCACAATAGCTGGAACAAAGCTTTTACCATTGAAGGGGCTCCGTGAGAGAACTTATACGGGGCAAGTGAAAAAAAAAAGGGAACCCACATGGCGCCCCCTATTTTTTAAAGAAGTTCTGCATGTGGCACTTCCTGATCTAAAGATATGAAAACCCAATTAATATGCTTTCTTTTAGTGAAAGAATCATTCAAATCGCTCATGTCTTTTTCCAGTTATGGAATTTTGAACACAAAACCTTTTATAACCTTGTCCACGGTAAGTGATACTTCAGCAAAACGAAAACTATATATATCAAAAACCACATCAGAACACTCTCATAACCATGTTAACTGGCACGTATCATAATATTTATTTAAAAACCTGCTGCTTCCAATGTTAAAATAATATGCTTTATAATGTCAAGAGTTTATAGTCTTGCCCTGCCTTCTACTTGGCTGTTGGGATTATTCTGATATCATTTTCAAGATAAGACTGGTTTCATTTTTACTGAAATTCACATACTTTTAATGTGATCCGTAGACAAGCTAAAAAAAAAATTATGTTCGTGTTCAAAGTTCCATAACTGGAAAAGTACATGAGCGATTTGAATGATACTTTCACTGAAAGAAAGCTTATTAATTGGGCTTTCATATCCTAGATCTGGAAAGCGCTACATGCAGAACTTCTTTAAAAAATAGGGGCAACATTTGGTTTCCTTTTTTTTTACTTGCCCTGTGCAGTGTCAACAACTAGCATGCTCACTGAATGGAATAATCCAATGAATAAGCTTGAACCTTTATGTGGCGGTACTGTACACTAGTAAGGGTTTGCTGTAACACCATGTGACAAATCTCTTTGAGAAGATGTATGGTTCTGAAAAGAACTGGTTGGTTGCGAAACTTGATGATGTTCCGATCAGTTTGCGTAAGAGATTCTGCCACATGGTGTTACCACTATCCCTTGCTAGGCTATAATCCCATTGTCAACAATAGAGTACAAGGGTGCTTCACCTTGGGCTCCTTCCTTGTAATGCTGATAAGCAGTCTGGCTGTGGAGATAGGGGGAATTCCCCTGAAAGGACCCCCATACAGTTGCACAAGAAACATTACTGGAAAGGCCAGTTGACAAACAGTAGTTGTCCAGGTCACACTTTATTGAGACCACAGAGACTGTGACCACAAAAGAAATCGCAAGGACTTTTTCAACCATTCTTTTCTCTTCACACTCATATTAAAGATGTATGTGTTATGTTGTTGTTCTGAATGATTTCCATTGTGCAAGATTTGTAAAAAAAGAAAAGAAAGTCTATAGAACATGTGAACATTTCTGTGCCTTTACATTCTCTGCAAAGTAATTGTCCTTTCAGTCAAAATAAATCAAGTCACAGTTAAAGGAATATACAACATTTGCAAACATCGAAAAATAAAACTACCAAGTTTTTACGAAATACCTTAATAGGATGTTGGTGAATGACAGTCTAAAGCATCCTGTAAAATTATGGCACCTGGTGTGAAGTCATTTTCAAGAAAATGGTATTTTTGTAAAAATTTCCAGCGGTGGTCGGCCGACCACCGTTGGAAAACCTAACTATTTTTCAACTACTGCTCAAAATTTACCATATATTCAGTCCAAATTTTGTTTGCTATTGGTTACGTGTTCATGAACGGGTGCAGGCCAGCTAGACTGGTACCCTTACCTTACAATTATCCGGCATCTGTAAATTGATCCTTTTATATTCAGTGGAGTCGGGGAACCAGACTACTTGAACAGTTTTGTTTTTCTTGGTTTTTCAAGCATTGTCGAACAAAAAACTTCAAACATGTCAGTGTAACAAAATTTGATCTATTATACTAACCCCTCAAATAGTTCATTTCTGAAAATTACAGCAAAAGCCAATGATGTAGCCTACATTCCCTTTAATATTAGAATGACAAAGAATCCCCTCTTAGACCTTATGCAATGCATAAGGTCCCAGATCAGGCCACATCTGACTTATTTCTTGAGTTTCATCAAAAAGTTGCTGAAAATCCTATGTACAGTTATATCATAGAGCAAGGATCCTTGCTCTAATGTGTCACCTAAACAAAGTTTTGGGAAACACTAACTGGTCCTAAATTCTGTATGACCGTAGACCCGTAGATCCGTATGTTAAATTTTACAGGTGAGTTTTGAAATGTTTTTATAACTTCTACATGCTTTCATGGATTTTAAAGAAACTTGCATGCAGTGACCCTTGGTTGGGAAGACACATTTCTCCATCGGATTACTGAGTTCAAAGGTCATGTCGGGGTCATCAGTGGTCATTGTTCAAATATGCCTCAAATGTTTCTCTGTCTACAGAATTTGATGGATTTTAATGTAATTTGGATGAGTGATCCTTGGGTGGGGGTTTATCACAACATTTCCGAAGTTATAGGTCAAAGGTCATCCAGGGGTCATTGAGGTCATTGTTAACGAAAAAGCACAGAATTTGACTCTTTCTAAGAACACAAAACATATAGGATCGACTGCAGAAAAAGGCGACACATGCGATCCGCAGATCACTTGTTTATGTTTCAAATAAACCGCAAAGGAAACTGACTATGTGCATTATGATAATTTGTTTTAAAAAGTTGAACAAAGAAATTGACCGGAGCAAGGTTTGAATCTGGGACCTCCGAAACGGCAATCGGAGGTCGCAGGTTCAAACCCCGCTCCAGTCAATTTCTTTTGTTCAACTTTGAAATTTTTATTTATTAATTATTTATTTTTTAACAGCTGTTCAAGAACATGCAGAGCTCAAAAAGAACTTGACAAGTTGCGGCGGAAGTTCCAAGAGAGTGAGAAAGTTCGCAGAGCTCTTGAAAAGAGAGTTCACAGTTCCGAGCAGGAACTGTCACGCCTCAGTATCGGTAAGTCTTAGAGGCTGTGTTGGGGTAGGGATGAGAAAAGGTTTAAAGAACCAAATAATAGTGTAAAAACAGTAATCCAATAAGCCTCTGTACTGATGACGTCACACTTGTTTACGTGTGTGCTTTCCTATGGTGCTCAGTGGACCGTGGGCCCCTACTGGCTCCATAGAAAGTGCACGTGTAAACAAAGTGTGACGTCATCAGTACAGAGGCTTATTAATTAAGCATGAAAATATAGTAACGATTGCTCAAAGGCATAGGATAATTTGAATTTACCTCAAATGTAACCTACCAAATTATTATAAAAAAGCTTACATGGTTTTTAAAGATTGTACTAGTATAAAACACCCAGTGAAATGATTCCACCCAGCTTGCTGTCATTTAGAAGAAATCAAGAAATGTAGGTAATTTCCAACGATCAGACAATGACTGATTTTTGGAATAAAAAGTGATGATGACGAAATCATGCTTTGCAATCGAAAAGGTTGTGCATGCTTTTTCAATGTTTCCTTTGAAAAGTGTAGTATCCACTCAGGCGCGGATCGGGGGGGGGGGAATTTGGGGGTCAAAAAAACCCAGCTGTCAAATTTTTTTTTTTTCATAGAAATTCATAAAAAATAATGTGAACCCCCCCCCCCCTGCTCTGACACCCCAAAAAAATTATACTAGTATAATGTTGAAATATGGTATCCTCCCCCCTCCCCCCAGCTTTTGATTTTATGGAGGCCAAGTGTCCGGAGAAAAAAACCTGTCTACATTTCAGGATTTTTTGCTGATGAAACCCCCTCCCCCCCCCCCCCCCCCCCCCCCCCCCGCAAAAATTCCTGGATCCGCCCCTGCCGCTGAGCTGAAATTCAGCAGGTTAGGTTTTGAACATTCTCCTTTGGATTTTGAGTGGTGCTATATTTTGGAAACGAACAAAATGCATGAACGCAAACGATCCTGTTTGCCTTTAAATGTTTTCATTTGAAAACAAGTGGACTGGCCAAAATATGCGAATTGTTTTGGAAGAGGGATAAACATGGTCTGAAGTAGAGTCAGGGAACCAGACTACAAGAACTATAACATTTTTTTCTTGGTTTTTTCCAGCATCTATGAACACAAAACTTGAAAGTGGTCAGTGTAACAACATTTAACCACCAAATCCATCCTTGTCTGAAAATTATAGCAAAAGCAAATAACCTTTAAATGTATTAATTTCATCTGACAACAGTTTCAGAAGCAGCTTATGACGAGTTTTCCCATCTTCACATCCAATACGAGGTGGAGCAAAAATGCAGGCTGACTGCAGAGACGTACGCCACCAAGGTATTGTGGAACAGTTGGCATTTTGTTCTAATATTACTCTCACGATTTTGGGGCCAAAACAATGTGGCTGAATTGCAGCACTGGAATTTGCAGAGTGCGAGAAAGACGGCAAACGTGCATTCTGCTAAAAAAAAATAAAAAAATAAAAAACCGATTGCCAAGTTAGGTGATCAGTTTTTAAACAACGCCTGAATAAATCCCGGTCATCTGATTGGTGGGTCGTTGATCACATGTCATCGACTTATTCATTCCAACGCTCCGTGCGACTGCAGTGAAAAAATAGAATTTTCTATTCCACAGTAAATAAAAGTTCCATCGCAAGGTCACACTATAGTATTAGTGCCTCTGACCAATCAGCTGATGAGGATTTATTCAGGCCTTTTTAAAACATGTAATAAATGCTTCACATTTGTGCAATGGAAGGAATAACTTCATGAGGAATGTTCCATTTATCGCCTCGTGGAATGGAACATTCCATCTGTCACCTCATGAAATTATTCTTATCATTGCACTCATAAACATTCACTATTTGTATGCTAACCCATGCAGTTGTGAAATATTACGGCAAAATATACTTCTCTATTTTGCATTCAGCAAAGACCAATCCCAGCACTGGTACGCTCACAGAGGCCCCCTGCAATGGCGAAAGCATTGTGCTAGCTATTGTCCGGATATTCGGTCATGGTGGAGTTGCTTGTATACAATAGTTGACACAATGTTTTCGCCATTGGAGGGGGTCTCTGTGAAATTCCAGTGATTACATTCTTGGATCGGTCTATCATCGAATTTCAATACAGAGTAATCCTTTTCAGAAATAAAAAAAGGCATGCAAATTTTGCTGAAATCAACCAATTCCTTGTTTTCCACTTCACGCTTGTGCCATTAAAAATGGAAAAACTCTGCAATTCTTGTAATTTAAAGGGAATGTACAATATTTTCTTTTGCCATGATTTTCAGAAATGGATGATTTGGGGGGTAGTATTACAGCAAATATCATTATACTGATTTTGTCTGATGTTTTGTGTTCGTAGATGCTGGAAAAAAAGAAAAGAAAAACAATCATGTTCCTGTAGTCTGGTTCCCTGACCCCACTTTATATTTATAGCAATTTGTTGGGTCAGGGAACCAGACTAGCTGGCTTGCACTCGTTCATAGGTGTGTAATCGGTTGCAAACAAAATGTGGACTAACTAAACGTGGTAAATTGGGGGCAGTATTTGAAAACAAAACTGGCCAGTTTTTAATACAAAAATACCACCTTAATTGAAAATAATAGCACACCAGGTGCCATGATTTTCACATGATGCTTGAGACTATTATTCAATAAAAGTCAAGTAAGGTATTTCATAATAATTTGATACTTTTGTTTTGTGATGTTTACAAACGTTGTATATATTCCCTTTAAAGCTTGGAATTTCCTCTTTTAGAGTAACATCCCTCATAATACACCATTGTGATCACAGTGGCCTCGGTCATGTGCGCACTGTTTATAATTTGATAAAAAAAATCTTGTTTGCATTATCCACCGAGCATGTTTCTGTCCGCTCATAATTACGTTAACCTTCATTTCATGGTTTCCAGGTTTACTTTAGGTCTCACTTTGTCAACACTGGGCGCTTATTCTAAGCGCCGTGTGTACGCAGTGCATTCATATTTCCTTTCAAGTTCAGCGTATGTGTTTTGGTGACTCACAAAATGTGCACACACTGTAGATCAAATATCTAAACCATTTGCAAGGATATTGGTTGCTTTCATTCTTCCAGCTCTAGGGAGCTTTACTTTGGAGTAATGGGGGAAGGGCTGGTTGTTTACTCTTCATTCTATGCGTTGGCCGTTCAGTGCGTGATTACTTTGTATTTGGAAACCATTGGAGTTTTTGGTGTTGATTTAAGTTCTTGTTGAGGATGAATACAAAGGTTAAATGATTTACAACATACCCCTCTTTTTATAAAAATTGACCTTTGTTCGTGCTAGCGGTATGTAGTGCGGGAGACAGGTACCTATTGAAGTCAATCACGGGTACCCTGGTACCCGCAAAAGAAACCAAACCCCAAAATTAAATTCACGGAAGTTGTCTCAAGGTTTACGGTGTAAAACTACAATTTTAGCGAGCGTCATCTGTTGCAAGTTGAAAATGCACATGAATATTATGCCGTTTTGGTTTTCCATGAAGCCTGGTTTTCCTTTTTGAAAATTCCCACCAATGGCATTCGAAACCTTCCTTTCTTCATTGGCTGAGAAGTTACTAAGTAATTTGTAAAGTTGGTTACAGGTACCCGATCCCATAATCTGGAACCAGTTAGCGGTCGGGTACTCATGGTTCCGACGCACACCCCTGGTTCATGCTCTTGAAAATTGTTGGCAGCTGACTGGTAGTTAAAGGGAATATACAACATTTGCAAACAACGAAAAATAAAACTACCCAGTTTTTACGAAATACCTAAATAGGATGTTGGTAAATGACAGTCTAAAGCATCCTGTAAAATTATGGCACCTGGTGTGAAGTCATTTTCAAGAAAATGGTATTTTTGTAAAAGTTTCCAGCGGTGGTCGGCTGACCACCGTTGGAAAAACCTAACTATTTTTCAACTAGTCTACTGCTCCAAATTTACCATTAATTCCGTCCAAATTTTGTTTGCTAGTGGTTACATGTTCATGAACGGGTGCAGGCCAGCTAGACTGGTACCCTTATCTTACAATTTTCCAGCATCTGTAAATTGATCCATTTTATATTTAGTGGAGTCAGGAACCAGACTACTTGAACAGTTTTGTTTTTCTTGGTTTTTCCAGCATTTTCGAACACAAAACTTCAAACATGTCAGTGTAACAATATTTGATCTATTATACTAACCCCTCAAATAGTTCATTTCTGAAAATTACAGCAAAAGCCAATGATGTACATTCCCTTTAAACATTAGATTCTTGATTGCACTGAAGTGGCATACGTATGGAAATGTATGGCATGTTGACGGACAGTGAATTTTCTGTACATGCATGTATTTCAATGGAATTTGTTCTCTTTATATTGTTGATGTTGCCATGACAATTTGAAATTGTGCATTTCTTTTGGTTGAACCAACAAAAGTGCTCAAAATCTAAAGATGGATGCTGAATAAGTAACGTGATGAAGTTTTAGCTCTGTGAATGCTGTATATTTTTCGAGATTTCAGAACAAACACAAATATTGGAAAGCTGCTAATGCCTATTACAACGGATCATATTTCTTCAAGTATTGAACAGTGTGTAAATAAAGTACTAAGTATAATTTATTAATTTTCACCAGAAGTGAATATTTAAGTTTATCAATGGTAGCAAATCTTGTATACATTTGACAAAGCTTTCACAGCTCTACATAAGTACAAATATTACATGATATGTTTCTTTTCTCCACAAAGAACTTATCGTTTCACAAGACACAACGTAAGTCGACAACCTTCTAGGTGTTTGTACGTTTATGGAACAGAAACAGAAACAGAAACAAAAACATGTATGCAAGTAATGTAATCTGGACCATGTGACCAAATCTAATTTCTTATTGTTTAATCCATTTACCAAGAGATGTAGCTTATCCGCAAAGCCGAAGATATTATTCATGATTAACCACAAAGTCTACGTAACCACTTTAGCTGACCGTGAAAATGCAATTATCTGTCATTGAAGGCTTGAACTGAACATGGACAAAATCAAATTAAAATTTGTAAATTGTCTTTGAAGTCTTCCTACATGTATTTGTGATGCGTACGCAGTGTACAGTAAAACCGTGGTAAAATGGTATGTTGTCCTCTGTACCTTTCCTTTGGTGATGTCATTTGTTTTGAGCAAACTTGTTTTCAAACTGTTAGTTGTCCCATTTTCGGGAAACGTTTCGATTAATATAGTGGCTGATAAGTTTTGCATCTGGTGGGTAAAGGCTAAAGGATGGAAGTTTCAATAATTAATCAAACCATTAGCTCTTCGAAAAATTAGTCAGGGTGTTTTTTTAACAAGTTCGTCCAGTTTTGTGTTTCTCCCACTTTCTTTTGAAATTTTTTCTTTTTCTGATGAATTGTTAAAACGTTTTTGGTGTGGATTTTTTTTTTTTGTGGGGGGGGGGGGTGGGAGGCCCTGCTCTTCCTAAAGGAATCCTTGATTTTTAGTTTTATTTACAAAGTGTTTTTAATCAATGGAGAAAAAAATAAGTCAAACATCACAAAACAAAACTACCAAATTATTACGAAATGCTTAACTTCACTGTTAGAGAAAAAAGGCTCAAACATCCTTGTGAAATCATGCCACCTGGTGTGCTGTCATTTTCAAGAAAAGTGGAATTTTTGTCAATCAATTTCCAACGATGATCAGCCAACCATAATTATTAAAAACTGATTTTTTTCAAATCCTTTCCCCAAATTACCAAATTTAGTTTTTGTCCACATTTTGTTTGTAATCGGTATGTATCTGTGAATGGGTGCAAGCAAGCTAGTATGGTTCCCTGACCTGACAATTCCTGGGCTACAATAACACTAACAGCATTCCAGTTTTGGTTTTTCCAGCATCTATGGATACAAAACTTTTAAATAGGTCAGTGTAACAAAATTTGCTGTAAATACTAACCCCCAAATCCATCCATTTCTGAAAATTACAGCAAAAGCGAATGTTGTGTAGGCCTATTGCCTATAAAGACAGAAAAGAAAAAAGTCATCAGTTTGAAAGTTACATGACTGAGAGCGTGTCGTTAATGGTTAAACCAGGGACAGACCTTTATAATGTTATTATTGAAAAAACGTGAATGTCAGAATGACACATAGCCTTTCCATTATACAGAGAAGTGAATGTACATAGACACCGTGGATAGACGCGAGCATATCAGATATCGATGTCACTTAGTGTGAAATATGAGCCCTTGTGTTAGATGCATTAAAAAGATGGGAAGAATGGGAAAAATACGTCTCGTTTGCTCCTAGTGCTTATCAGAGAATCAGAGAGACAATTTCAAAGAGAACAGATTGAAAATGGGAGAATAGGCTATACAGTATTTTATTTATAGAATAGAATACCTTTTTCTGGGGGGGGGTTGTTGGAGGGGACAGTTATGAAGTAAATACATGTACCTAATGAATATAACCTAAAATCAACCATACGCTCAGTTCATTAAGTATTTAAAGTGTTTGCACTGAAATTTCTTGGTTATAAAGTGAACAAGTGCGAGTGCACAATAAGCTCTGGCT